AAAACTTATGCACCAGCCTTTGCAAAGCCCTTCACATGTCTGAACGCATCCAGTCCTCATGACAACCTCCTGAGGTGGGTTCTCCCCATTTTATAGAGGAGGAAATGGAGGCGAAGAGTGATTAACTGGTCTCTTCCTCAGTCCGTTCCTTGACAGACCAGCCCTGGGGAGCTTTTCAAAAGGGAACTTGGATGAAGTCACTGCCCTCAACTGCTTCTTGGATCTGGCTCAAGATAAACACAAACGGCTCCAATAAAAAATGTAGGCAGAATAATAGAACTGGAAACCACCATTTTGCAAGTCCTGATGACACAGGTGATCCAGGCAACGACTGTCAACAGATGCCATTAAGAGAAAGATGGATGAGAACTGGATATCCGCAGGGTGCTAGTCCTCGCCAGAAAACGTAGCTTGACAATGGCAGGTTTGTACTCTTCCTACCTGTATTAGTCAGCTGGGGCCGCCAAGACAAAATACCAGAGACTGGGGGCCTTAGGCAACGGACATTTATTTTCTCACAGTTCTGGAGGCTGGAAGTCTGAGACCAGGGGCCAGCCTGGTGGGGTTCTGGTGAGAACTCTCTTCCTGGCTTGCACATGGCTGGCCGCCTTCTTGCTATGTCGCCACAGGGCAGAGAGAGCACTTTCTGGCATCTCTTCCTTTTATAAGGACATCAACCCCATGGATCAGGACCCCACTCTTACGACCTCATTTAACCTAAATTACTTCCCTAGAGGCCCCAACTCCAAATGGTCATATTAGGGGTTACGGCTTCAGTATATGAATTGGGGGAGGGAGGCAACAAGCATTAAGTCCATAAACACTATCTGAAGCCCCTGATCAGTTTCACCATCCTAAAAGTGGGACAACGAGGGTTAGGCAACAGGAAGCCACCAGCTCTGAAGCTGCCACACCAAAATGGCTGAACCTAAATTTAATCAAGACTTTAGATTTAATTTCCTGATTCTAGGAATTCAGAGGATATAGCAGGGATCAACTAAAAAGGGCCAGACAGTAAAGATTTTCAACTTGGCAGGCCATATGGCCCTGTCACGACTACTCAATTCTGCCTTGCATGGCAAAAGCAGCCAGGCACACTATGTAAATGAGCGGGCATGGCTGTGTTCCAATAAAACTTTATTTATGGACACTGCCATCTGAATCGCATATAATTGTCATGGGTCACAAAATATTATTCATCCTTTGATTTTTTCCAATTATTTAAAAATGTTAAGGGCCGGCCCCGTGGCTTAGCGGTTAAGTGCGCGTGCTCCGCTGCTGGCGGCCCGGGTTCGGATCCCGGGCGCGCACCATCACACCACTTCTCCGGCCATGCTGAGGCCATGTCCCACATACGGCAACTAGAGGGATGTGCAACTATGACATACGACTATCCACTGGGGCTTTGGGGGAAAAATAAATTAATTAATTAAAAAAAAAAAAAACCCACAATGAGACACCTGTTCATACCCACTTGGTTGACTATAATCAAAAAGTCAGATAATACCCAACACCTTCTTCTAGAGGGGGGACCCTCCCCACCCCCGGGGTCTGCCCAAATAAACTTCTCGGGGAAAAAAAAAAAAAAAGTCATATAATAACAAGTGTGGAGAAACTGGAACCCTCATACACTGAGGGTGGGAATTGAAAATAGAGTGGCCACTTTGGACAAGTCTGGCAGTTCCTCAAAAGGTTCAACAGAGAGTTACCATTTGATTCAGCAATTCCACTTCCAACAGAAATGAAAACATATGTTTAGGCAAAAACTTGTACACAAATATTCATAGCAGCGTTATCTGTAACAGCCAAAATGTGGAAAGAACCCAAATGTCCACTAACTGATGAATGGATAAACAAAATATAGTACATCACATACAAAGAAATATTATTAGCCATAAAAAGAATGAAGTACTCAAATATGCTACAAAATGGATGAATCTTTTTTTTTTTTTCTTTTGGTGAGGAAGATCCACCCTGAGCTAACATCTGCCAACCCTCCTCTTTTTTTTGCTGAGGAAGACTGGCCCTGGGCTAACATCCGTGCCCATCTTTCTCCACTTTATATGGGATGCCGCCACAGCATGGCTTGGCAAGTGGTGCGTCGGAGCGCAACCAGGATCTGAACTGGAGAACCCCGGGCCGTGGCAGCAGAGCGCGCGCACTTAACCGCTTGCACCATCGGGCCGGCCCCATGGATGAATCTTGAAAACACTGTACTAAGTAAAAGAAGCCAGTCAGAAAAAAGATTCCATTTATGTGAAATGTCCAGATTAGGTAAATACATAGAGATAGAAAGGAGATTAGTGGTTGCATAGGGCTGGGGGGAGGAGAGAATGGGGAGTGACAGCTAATGGGTACTGAATTTCCTTTTGGAGTGATGAAAATGATCTAAAACTGACAGTGGTGAAGGTTGCAGAACTCCATGAATATACTAAAAACCAATGAATTGTACACTTCAAATGGGTGAACTATACGTTATGTGAATTGTTGGAATATGTTATATTCCAATAAAGCTGGTATTTTTCAAAAAGGAAGCCAGCACACGGAATAAGTGAAATGAGATTAGAGAGAGGCAAAAAGACAAATTCAGATGGGGGAACCATCAACAGACTAACTGACCTAGTTTCTTCAACGCATCAATTACACCAAGAAAAAAACCAGGATGGGAGATTGGCGTGGGGGGGGGGGGGGGGGCAGTCCGAAATTAAGAGCAACTTAAGAGACACAACAGTAATGACTTGACTGGATTCTGATTCAAACAAATGAAAATTTTTTTTAAAGGCATTTTTGAGACACATAATTGGCTTATTGACCAAGTAATAGGCGATATTCTGGAATTACGGTTGCTTTTGTAAAGTGTGATAACGGTATTGTGGTCATGTAAGAAAACGTCCCTAGTTTTTACACATGCATCCTGAAATCCTTAGGGGTGACATGTCATGATGAATAGGATTTGCTTTATATATTTAATTAAAAAATATATACCCAGCCAATACGGCAAAAACATTACTAACTGGTAAATCTGCGCTGTAGGGATTTCTACATTATTCTCTCATTTTTATAGAAGTTGGAACATTTTCATAATAAAATATTAAAGTAAAACTGCTTACAGGACGCTTCGAGGCCTAAATTCACACCGAATCAGCAGCACCATCAGGATGTGAACCCAGGACTACCAGACCCCAAGCGCCACGAGGAAAACGTGAAACCCTACACCAACCCCGAGAGGGAAGAGGCTGTCAAAAGGTGCAGAGAAGGCGGCGGCGGGAGACGGCACAATCCTTCTCCGCCCTTCCCATCACAGTCCGAGAAACCGAGGCCAGGAAAGGGGTCCTCGTCCTCAACTCCCACTCCTTGGGCCCCCAGGAGTCCTAGTCTCCTCCTTCCTCTGGGACCCCCAGCCCATCGCCATCTATCTTGGAACAAATCTCGGGAGAACTGCCGGATGGAGGGTTGGCTACCCCCACGGGGTGCTGGGAGATGTAGTTCAGCTTCAAACTGGTGCGCCTGGAGCGGTCTATTAATGATGGACAGGGAGTCGGGAATTCGAAATCCTGTCCCTGTCTCCCTCAGGACCCCAGGACTCTAGCCCGCGGGAAGGCGATCCCAGCAACACCATCCCTTCACCACCTAGAACTCACCTGAAAAACGACTCCTCGCTCTTTCGTTGCTTCTCCAACTGTGCCCCTGCACCGGAAAGGAGCGCTGTTTTCCCTCTCCGCTCCGCCCACTTCCGCCCGGCAGAAGAGACCGGAAGTAAAGCTGCCCCTAGTTGCGGAGGTATCTCTTCTGGCTGGGTAAGTCCTCCCTTTTGCTCTGTCTCCCCCCGGAAACGTGAGTGGCAACTCAGAGGTTCCGGTTAGTGAAATTGCCGTGAATATGGGGCACGCTTAGTATATACTAGGTATTTCCCGGGGCGGGCAATTTCCTGTTTGTATCCAGGCTTTGCGTCTCTCCAAGCCGGAGTTTAAGGACTAACCACTTCCCCCAGAGATTGGAAAGCCCACTTCCCCAAGTATATCATCCACATTTCTTTCTGCAAGTTGAGACGATTGAGAAGGGACAATTCCTCTGTCCCCATTTTATAAACGGAGCAATTGAGAAATCAGAAGTCAAAGCCGTTCAAATCACCTCGGGAAACAGGAATTTACTATGGCACACCCTACCCCCAGGGACCAAGGCATACAGCTCCCGCCAGTTTCCAGATATCTAGATATCTGGAGACCTAGACGTTTATTTCCCTAACTTGGCACGGCGAGCTTGCGGGTGGGGGGGCGGGGAGGAAGACGGCGGGGGGGGCCCGAGTAGGAGGAGAGGAGGTGCATATGCTGTCGCCTAAGTGCCCCCACGGTGTCCGAGACCCTGGCCTCCCTATGGAGCTCTGGACCTTAGGCCCTTCATCATAAGGTCCCTTTAAATACTTTGTCCCTTACCTGAGTCCCGCCCAGGGCAGGTAATCGCAAGCCCCGCCCCTCGCCCAGAAACCTGGATCGGGCTGATTGCAGGCAGCGAGGGTCCTCCTCCTTCCTCTCCCCTCCCCTCCCCCTGCCCCCTTTCACATCTGGCCACAGCTGGCTCAGGAGGCCCCTATTACAGAGGAGGGGACAGTGCTCGCAAGTCTGAGTAGGTAAGTGAATGTCCCTAAAGGCAGAGCCTGGCTTGATGACCCTGGTTCCTGGCTCCCCACTCCTCTGGGACCCAGAAGTTCAGGGGTCCAGGGCCCCTGGACCCAAGAATATAGGCCCCTGCTCTTGCCTCTCCTGCAATCTTTGATCTGTGTGGGTGGATGTGGCAATGGGTACACAGAAAAGCATCCGTGGAAATGACCAGGAAGGAAGCAATTCCCATCACCAATGGACGCCTTTATGCACACCTGCTATGTGCTGCAGACACAATGGAGAAAAAGAGAAGCTCCTTGCACCAGTCTCTGGAGGCACACTACCTTCCTTCAAATCCTGCCTCTGAATCTTGCAAACTGTATGCCCTTGGGCAAGTTCTTTTCCCTCTCCGTGCGTCCGTTTCCTCATCTATAAAATGGAGATCATAATAGCACTGCTGTGAAAATGAAACTGAGTTGATATAGGTAAACTACCTTAACAATGTCTGGTCCAGAATACCAGCTACGTAAGTGTCTGCTATTATTGTTATGAGTCATGGACCAGAGTCCTGGCAGGGGATCTTGCCTCGTTCCCCAGGGGCTGAGATACCTGTGGTCTGTACCACACCAGGTGTCCACAAAATATGAGAGGCCCCCCCTCTCTGCTGCTGCTCTACCTGGGACTGATCGCCTGCCTGGACACCTCGCCCAGTGGGGAGCAAGATCAAGGTGAGTGTTTGGGGGAACAGCCTGTGTCCAGATGCTGACAGCACCTTCCCTTGACCGAGGAACCCTTACCTCTAGTCCCTTCCTCCCCCGGGACCCCAAAGCTCTCCATCCCCTTAGGTTCAGGTTCCTCAATGTCCCCAGTCTTAAGAACCTTCCATTTTTCTGTCCTTTGGGCCCAGAAGTCTTCCTGGCGTCTCCAGAGGCCCAGAACTTTCTGGGCAGCCGGAGTCGGATTCCACGAGCCAACCACTGGGACCTGGAGCTCTTCACACCGGGGAACCTGGAACGGGAGTGTCTTGAGGAGAGGTGTTCCTGGGAGGAGGCGAGGGAGTACTTTGAGGACAATACTCTGACGGTGAGGGCCTGGGGGCCCTGGAGTCCCTCCATCCTTTCCAGGCCCTGGGGTGTCCTGGCCCTCAACTCCCTCCTCCCTCGGGTCTCAAAAATCAGGGTAGGCTGGTTGGGGGTGTGGAATCCTTCAGTTGACACGCTGCCTTTCCGCCTTCTCTACTCCTGCCCCTTCAAGGAGCGCTTTTGGGAGGACTACATCTACAATGGCAAAGGAGGTGAGTGGGGTCCAAGATCTCTTGTTCTGGGCTGCTAAGGCAGTCCCTTCCCATGGGGGCTGAACCAACATCCCCCACCCCACATTCTGTGCTCCCTGAGTTCCTGGAGGTGGTTGTTCAAGGAATCCCCTCCTTTGAGACTAGAGCCCCTGCCTGAGGAACCCACCACACCTTATTCAGAGGAGGTCCCATGTCCCCAGGAAGGGGGAAGTGTGGGTGGAGGGGGCTACAGCCCTGGGGCCCTTCAGGGCTCAGAGGCGGTGGCCCACCTGAGCCCCTCTTTGGAGTCCAGAGCCCCAGCCCCTTCTGCAGCTTGGTTGCCAGGGGGCTGCTCCCTAGCAACGGGGCCGGGCCTGGCCAGGTGGAGGAAGCATGTCTGTCCTCACCTGCCCAGTCCACCCACTTCCATCCCTTCCTCTGAGTTCTGAGGCCCCATCATGGCTGCAGCTGTGTTGCTAAGGGGGGGGCTTCTCCTTAGCAACAAGGCCTGGCCAGGCCAGCCAAGGAAGCCGGCAGCACTCACTACCTGGCTGGCTTCCCCTCCCCCACAGCCCCATCCCAGCCTCCTTCTGGTTGCTAAGGAGGCCTTCTCCCTAGCAACCACACCTAGCCAGTCTCTGGACCCAAGGCCTCCTGCCCACTGGAGGACCCCCTCCGGGTACCAGGCACCCCACCCCCTTGTGGCCTGGTTGCTAGGGGTGGATGCTGCTTAGCAACCAGCCCTAGGTCTGGGCTGCAGTCTGCACATTGGAGCCTGGTTGCTAGGGGAGGTAACTGCTTTGTGACAGGCCTATCAAGGCCTGGTGGCTCCTTGCATCCACCTGAAACATGTCAGAATTTCGAGGGCTTTGCCTTCTTAGTACTTTTTGCTGAGAGCTAAAAGCCTGGGGTTTACTGTTTGAGGACATACCCCCGCTACCTGGGGCTACAGGAAGTATCCCCAGCAAACAAGACCTAGCAAGGCCTCACGAAGCCAGAGTCCTCTCTGTACCCCCCTTATCCTCAGACACAAAGCCTTGGATTGCTCAAGGGGCTGGACCTCAGCAAAGAGTCCACATGAGTTCTAGACACTAGCAATCTGATACTGAGGGGAGGTCCCTAAATTCCTCCATTGAGAAATGAATTTTTCCCAGCCTTCTAGTGAATTCAGAAGCCTTCCTGTGGATTCTGCTCTTTTTCCAGAGTTGAGGCATGCCCCTCAGAGGCCTGGTTGGTGAGAGAGGTTGCATTCCAGAGGGGGCAAAGTTGCCAGATAAAATAAGGACCCCCCACTTTGAGTTAAATTTGAATTTTTTTTTTTTTTTGGTGAGGAAGCTTGGCCCTGAGCTAACATCTGTTGCCAATCTTCCTCTTTTTGCTGAGGAAGATTGGTCCTGGGCTAACATCTGTGCCCATCTTCCTCCATTTTTTTGTACATCGGATGCCACCACAGCATGGCTTGATGAGCGGTACGTTGGTCTGCGCCTGGGATTCGAACCTGCGAACCCCGGGCCACAAAAGCAGAGCTTGTGAACTTAACCACTCCACCACTGGGCCAGCCCCTAAATTTGAATTTTAAATACACACAAATTTTTTTTTAGTATAAGTATATCCCATATATCCCATGGACATACTTACACTAAAGTTTTCATTGTATGTCTAAAATTCACATTTAACCTGGAGTTCTATATTATTATTTGCTAAATCTGGCAGTGCTCACTGTGGGGGCCTCGGAGCTCCTTCCCCTACCTGTAGTGTGTCAACTGCAGTCTTCGCAGACTGATTGCTCAGGAGGGTCTTGAATCACCCCATGTCCAATGCGGGGCCTCTGTCATCATGGGGATACGGCTGCTGTATTTTCTAGTCCCCGATGAAGCTATCACAGGCCCTTCCTGCATTTATATAATCTAGTTGAATTTTGGCAACCTGTCAGGGCGGGGTTATGGGTCCCATTTTACAGGGCAGGAAATGGAGGCCCAGAAATGAGTGAGATGAGTTGCCTGAGGTCCCGCAGCTAGGAAGGGGCCCCAGCTCTGCGTGGTTTCTTGGCCAGTCTTCCTCCCCCAGGGAAAAGGCGTTTGGATGGGCGAGGTGACAGCCCCTGAGGCCGTGGCTCCCCTCACCCCGCAGGGCGTGGACGAGTGGACATAGCAGGCCTGGCTGTGGGTCTGACATGTGGCATCCTCCTCATTGTCCTGGCCGGCCTGGGAGCCTTTTGGTATCTGCGTTGGCGACGACGGCGGCGAGGCCAGCAGCCCTGTCCCCAAGAGTAAGGGGCCTCAGGGAGGAGGAGGGAGAGGATGGGTCGATCTAAAGAGATGGGCCAAGGATTGGGGGCAGGTGGGCGCTGATGAAAGATCTGAGGAGACAGTCATAGGGAGAGTGAGTCTGTGAGATGTGCGTCTAGTTGTGGCATCCGTCTGTCTGACTGTATCCTCTGTCCCTGGCACACAGTAGGAGCTCAATCAACATTTGCTGCCTGCCTGTCTCTGCAGTACCAGGTTTCTGTGTAATTGTCACTCTGGGTCTTGTATCTGGTGAGGCTGCAGTCTCTGGCCTCTGGGTGTCTGTGGTATGTCAGTTTCTGTGGTGACAGGGTGTAGCCTGTGCTTGCGTGTGTCTGGATGAGTTTTCTAGGTGTGTCATTCTCAGGGGCGGAGTCTAAGGGTGCTTGCAGTCTTGGAAGTCTAGGGGGTCTGGGGGTTTTGAGGAAGAATTTATTGTGAGAGTGGATCTGGGAAATTTGTGACTATTTCAGCGTTGTGTCTGCCAGTTTCTGTGTGTGTCAGCCTGCCTCTCTGCAGGGCTGGCTTTTTCTCCATTACTCTGCCTGTATCTGGAGAACGTGTGTGTCTGTGAATGAGAGTCTGTCTCAGCAGTTGTTGATTTCTCTGTCTGCCTGTCATTCTGTGTGTAGGGTCAGGTTGCAAGTGACCCTCTATTTCCCTGGTCCATTTCCCTTCCACCTCTGTCCCCCTACCACTCAGAATCTCTGTCTGCCTAAATCTTCTTCCTCCCAAGTCTCGCCATCCTGTAGGTTTCCCCTGCTAAGAGAGCACCTTCTATCCCCAGGGCCGAGCTCGTCAGCCCCCTGAGTACCCTGAGCTCTCTGGGCCCGCCGACGCCCCTGCCTCCACCTCCACCCCCACCCCCAGGCCTCCCCACCTACGAGCAGGCGCTGGCAGCATCTGGGGTGCACGACGCACCTCCGCCCCCCTACACCAGGTACAGGGCTGGGCGTCTGCCCGGGGGCGGGGCGCAGAGGGGAGGGGCCTGCCGGAGGAGGGGCGTGAGCTCAGGGGCGGGACTTGGAATTCTGAGCCTATTATCCGGGGCGAGGTTTGGAGCGCGGGGGCGGGACCCTGTGCAATTGTCTGGGGGCGTGGCCCAGCGCTGTGTGTGTGGAGCCTTATAGGAGGGTGGGTCTTGTGCCCAGAGGGTCCGGGATTGGCTGAGACGCCCAGGGCGAGTCGGAGTGGTCTTGGTTGAGGGGGGAAAAACAGCCGGGTCTTTGATCCCCACTGTGCCCCTCCCCTTGCAGCCTCGGGAGGCCTCGCTGAAGAGCTGCTTCGGAGCCGGGGATCCCCGAACCGTGCCCCAGATTCACACTGGATTGCGGAAGCCCCCAGGCCTCTTAAACTCTGGACGGAGCTGAGCTTGGAGGGTGGTGGGAGTAGGGGTCGTCCGGCTCTGGCCCTACGCCTATCCTGGCACACGTGTTTCCGCCGCGTACGGATACACGCCTGTCCCGGGCCGAGGTGTTCCGGGGTCCTGGCCCTTCGTGGGCCCCCACGCTCTCCTGACTGTGGGGGTACCCGTCAGCCCCGCCCCCGGGGTAGGCGTGCGTGGAAACTCGGACCGAGGCGCGCAGGCCGGGTGTGCAGACTCGCGTGTGCAGGTGTGACATAGCCATCGCCTTCCAAGTGCCACGGGCCACGCACACGCAGGGCCACGCACACGCAGAGCCCCGCCTGTGCACACGCATGTCTTCGTGCGCGCACAGGGGCGCTTTGCAACCCAGGGACAGGGTGGGGGGCATATTTGCAAGCGTGCTCGGTGGGGGCAGGCTCGCATTGCACCCGGGGGACTGGAGTTGAGCTCTTCCCCTAAATAAAAACCCTTTGGAAAGGAGACCAAAAAAAGTGAAACAATGCAAAAAAATTAAAATCAAATAAACTGAACCGCGTTCCCGGGCGCGTCTGCGCGCGGTGGAGTTGGCTTTCTGTACAAACGCAGCGCCCTACACCCCCAGGCCCTGCTTGCTCTCTGTGTCTCTCTCTCTTTTTTTTTTTTTTTGCATTTGCACGGGATTGTGGGAGGAAGCGGAGCGCAGCCAGACACCCCGCCGCCCGCCCCCCCTTCCCCTCCCCCCTCCCCCAGCCGCCTTGTGCAAAGATGGCTGCACCGTGAGCGCAGAGGAGGAGGAGGCGGCGGCGGCGGCGGCGAGAGAGCGAGCACCCAGCGCCCGCACCCACCCCGGGGCCGCCCGGGACGCCCCCTCCTGAGCGCGCGCCCCCCCCGTCTCTCTTGCAAGCGCCGGGGCAAAGGCGGAGACAGCGGGGTCCCTCCTCCCCCCCGTTCCCTCCAGGGGGAACCCCCCTTCCCCCCTCCTTGGCTCGGCGGCTGCACCCCCTCCCTTGCCCGCCCCTCCGCCCCTGCCCCCTCCCTCCCCCGCCTGGGGCCTTCCCGGGCCTTCGGCGGCTGCAAAGAAAAAAAGAGAGAGAGAGAGAGAAGGGAAAAAAAAAGCAGTGGAGGGAGCGGCGGCGGAGGAGAGCGCGCGCGCGCCCCCTCCCTCCCTCCCTCCCTCCCCCTCCCCCCAATTTCCACCGCGGCCAATTCATGGACAGGAACTACCCCAGCGCCGGCTTCGGGGACCCGCTCGGCGCCGGGGCGGGATGGAGTTACGAGAGGTCAGCGAAAGCTAGGTAAGGAGCCGAGGATGGCCTGGTGGAAGGGGCCAAGGGGTGGGGGCCCAGCCGGGCCAGGCCGGGCCCGCCCGGCGACGCGTGCATCGCAAACTCCCCTCCGGCTTGCAAGGGAGCGGCCTTCCTCGGTTTGCAACAACGCCGCCGCCCCAGTTTGCAAATTGCAAACTCCGCCAAAGCCAGCTTCGGCATGCAAAGGGAGAGATGCAGCGGGAAAATGGGGGTGCAAAACAATTTCGGACGGAAAGGCCTTGGGAAGGTGGGAGGGACTGGCGAAGCAAGGCCTGGACTTCCCCCCATCCTTGGATTCCCGGCTTGCTGACCCCTCCCCCTCGCGCCCCAGGTTCTGCTCTTGCAAAGGTGGCAAGAAAAGAAGGTTCAGAACGCAGACCTGGGGGCGCGCCCCCCCTTCCAGGTCCTATTGTTCCGGGACTGCGCGAGGCCGCGCCACTCGGGCCCCCCCCCACGAAATTCCGAGCGCAGAGTGGGCACGGGGCCCCGCCCCCTTCCTAAGCTGGGGTTCTGTGTGTATAAGGGGGGGTCCTGGCATTTGAGACACGCCCCCTTTAACTCCCCCACCCCCAAAGGCAGAGAATCCTAGTTGATGGCGAGGAGCGGAGTGTTTGACCTCTTGAGTCTGGGCCATGGCTTGGGGCCCTTGCATGGGAAGATTGGGATGTTTCCCGGGCGTGTGGTTGTGTGTGGGAGCTTGGGCCCTGTGCGTGCGTAGCTAGCTGGCAGCCTGTTCACCTGCGAATCTGCCCCTTTCCTGCTGTTTGTGTGGCGCCCTCACTCTTCACCTGCCCCCCAAGCCCCCCTTCCCCCACACACCTCGGTTTCCCAGCATGGCTGGGCATGACCCCACGTGCATTAGGACTTTCCGTTTGGGACTCCTCGCTCTGTATCTTCCCTTCCCTACGGGTGAGTTGGATACTCGTTTGCATACATACCTGGCTTTGCATGGGCCCATGCATTTGAACCTCAACCCCGGGGGATGGACGGTGTTCATGTTCACACTTGTACCTGGTACTTTCCCCGAATCCTATCCCCTCCCTACCCTCCATCCCTTCCGTTTGGGGAACAATCTGCCTCCTGCTGCCGACTCGGTTTGCACCAACCCTTGAGGCTCAAGGGCCTATGTGTTCCCACGTGTCTGCAGAAGAGGGGGCGTCCATGTGCCGCTCTGGGGTTGGCCCCAGGGCCTTGTGTTACCAGCGGGGTCGGGGGCTGTGGTAGGAGGTTTATGATAACTGGAGCCACTTCCTCTGACTCTTGGCCCTCTCTGTGTTTGTCTCAGAGTGATGTTTGTTTGTAAACGTGAGACAGGAGTTCTGTTTACTGGGGCTCGGGTGGGGACCATTTCTGTGGCTTCTTAGTTGGGTACCCCGATTCCCTTGTTTTCTCCACTTTAGGGCCCAAGGTTCCATAGGATAACCCCCAGTCACCTGGAAGATTTCCCCCAACTCCCGGGGGATTTGCTGAGTTCCCTTCTCCGAGAGCAGCTTCGGAGGACAACCTAACATCTCCCCCTTCCCCCCCAGCTTGGTCTATGGCAGCTCCAGGACCTCGCACCCCGAGACGGACATCTTACACCGCCAGGCCTACGCGGCCCCCCACCCACTGCAAAGCTATGCCACCAACCACCACCCGGCAGGTACGGCCCCCGTCCCGCCCCACCTGGGCCGGCCCTCCCTCCGAGGCAGCTGATTGGCTGCTGAAAGTTCCACCTCTCCTAATTGGCCGTGCCCTGCATCCTGGCCCGCCCCTTGCTCCCTCTCCTCTGATTGGTTGCTCTGACGCTGCTTAATTTCACGCCGGATTCGTCCGCCCCTGTCTCTGGCCCCGCCTCTTTCGCTCCTATTGGCCCCATCCTTTCAGCCACCAAATCCCACCTTCTCTTCCAGGCTTTTCCGCCTCTCCAGCCCACCCCAGTCCCTTCCCTCTGGGTTTGCCCGTCCTCTTGGCTCCTTGGTTCTCTGAATTCTTTCTTCCTGATTCCATGGCTTCCTGATTGGCTCCGATTCTTTGGACCGCCCCCTTTTTAGATTTGCCCACTACGTTACTCTCCTCCTCTGGCCCTGCCTCTAACGTTTCTGATTGGTTTCCTTTAATCCCGCTGCCCTCCTTCCTGGACCAGCCATGAGACTGTTGTCCAGTTTGATCCTTGACCCTCCTGGTTGGCCCCTTCCCTTTTTTTTCTCTCCACCTTTTTTTTTCCTGGATCCTCTTAGACTCAGCCCCTTTCGAGTTGTTCTCTATTCTTCCCAGTGGGTCCCGTCATCACATCCCTTCCCCTTCCTTGCTGGAAATGCCCAAATCCTTTGCCCCCCACCCCATAAGGACGCTCTGCTCTTTTGCTCCCCCTTCCTTCACTTCTGGATTTTTCTACTTCTTTGTCAACCTTTCTTCTCTGGGCCTCCCTGCGCTTATTATTGCATTGCATTACATCCCATTCTGTTTATTTTTTTTTTTTTAATTTTTTTATTTTTTTTAAAGATTTTATTTATTTTTTCCCCCCAAAGCCCCAGTAGATAGTTGTATGTCATAGCTGCACATCCTTCTAGTTGCTGTATGTGGGACTCGGCCTCAGGATGGAC